ATCCCTTAAATAAAAACATTTTGAAGGGATATATATTTATATTAGAATAGATGGGATTCATCTAGCAGTGATATCCAGATGATAGGTACAAAATAAGCCAAACAGTGAATCTTGTATTCCATTTCTATTCATATTTCACTTATTCTATGTAAACTTATGATAAAATGGATATACCAGGGTAATCTACACAGAATACAAACATACACATTAAGATTAATTGCAATTCAATTGAGAATACTAAGAAGAGAATAATTTGAACCGTTACATATTAAATTAATATATAGTATAGACATTTAATTGACTTATACCATATTAAAGGATATATTTCAATCATTGAGATCCTGAGTCAATTGAAGCAAAACAACCATGGAAAACCTGAAAGCACTGGACGGACGTTTCGTCCTAATGTAGAACTCCTCAACAATGCACATCCACGATCCCGCCTCGCAAGATTCCAACCCAGGATCTATTGGTCTCGCGCGTGAACGATTAATACCTAGACCACTAATCCGGTCGTCATCCAACAATGTTAATCTCTAACCTCAACTAATCCACAAAATTGAGCAACACATCCACCACTGTCTTCAATGGTTAAACATTCGCTCGTGGGACCGATATTTCCTAGGTTCAAATCTTGCGAGGAAAGATCGTGGATGCACACTGTTGCATAGTCCGATCATAGGACGAAACAGCCATCCAGTGCTTCCACATTTTCCATGATAGTCTAGCTTCAATTAACTCATAATCTCAACTATTTAAATTACTATATAATATCCACAAAACCCCTATTGATATTAAAGGATATATATTTACTATAAATAAAATATTTCCCTAGTCTGTAATCTTATACATAAGACAAAGTTATAATATAAACATTGTTCATGTAAACAAAATATAATAATAAATAAGAGATTAGTATTATTATAATCCCTATGAATGTGAACCACACCTTTATAACTAATAATAAGATTTATAGGTATATGAAAAATAATGATTCCATTTCTATTCTATCTACTTATATTAACATATTGAAATGAATATCTAATCTAGTTACGTTTTTCTTTTTATGTATCTTTTTATTTATTTATTTATTTGTTTCCTGTAAACAATAATTAAACTCAACCTCTTGGTCAGATTTTCTTTTTCTGTTTTTTTTTTCTGTTTTTCTTTCTTCTTTTGAATGAATCGATTAACATAAGACAGTAATAAAAAATTTATGTCCATTTTGGAATTAATTCGATCAACGAATTTAATCTATTGGTTCAGAAACACTTAATTTTTCTTTTGGGTAAACATTGTTCGTTTGTTTACATTATAGACAAATAGAAAGTGAATATTTTGAAGAAGTTCCTATTGAATGAATTAAAATTAATATATATATTTCGGTGATTAAATATGATTAGAAACTTTAGAGATGTAGAATGGTTATTTCTTATGTAAAACCAAATCTTTTTTTATCATGATCTCAATTTATTTCAACTGAGTTTATTAATTAGTTATAAAGAAGGGAAATATTTGTAGATAAGTTAACAAAAGAAGAGTTTTGAAGAGTTCCACAATAGGATGAAACGGTTGTTCAGTGCTTTCAAGTTTTCTATAGTGGTTTAGCTTCAAGTGACTCATGATCCCAACTATTAAAATTATTATAATATCCATAAAATAAACCCTTTTGATATTAATCAGCATATGCTCATTAGTGACTGGCTTCATGACATATATCTGTGGTGGTTGGTATTCAGTATAATCCTTAAACTTCGTATACAGTTCGTCTTGTTAACCGTTCTGTATAACGCCCCGACGGTATATTAATCAGAAGGCAGATACGAAGCGTTGATTACGTTTATTACGAGACCACACACATATATCCAAATGTACAGATGCGTTAAACAAGCATAGAAGAGTTGTGCCGATAGGCAAGCAAGCGAGCGAGAGCAAGAGCAAGAGCGAGACGAGAGTGTGTGTGTGTGTGTTGAATATGAGTAACATGGACTATATATAGCATGTGAAATGAATGAGTAATTGAATCAAATAAGCAGTTAGTAGTAAGATTAGCAGAGTGAATAAATGCGTAGGCAGTAAGCCATATCCAAGCATACGTATTTCATACAAGCACAAAATAATAATAACGGTACAATAAATTGTTATAGTGCGGATGACTTTGTCCGCTAAATAAGTTAGCAAAAGGGCTTAACTGAGTTAAATTATAATAAACTCAATTGCACGTGAGTCATAATATATCCAGGAGTTCGAGTGAAAAGCAGTGACCAGTGGAGTCCAACCGGGTCAGTTGTGAGATACTAACTCACTGAGGAAAATGGTGGGTGTGTTTCTCAATTTTGTGGATTAGTTAAAGTTAGAGATTAACACTGTTGAATGAAGACCGGATCAGTGGTCTAGGCATTAATCGTTCACGCGCGAGACCAATAGATCCTGGGTTGGAATCTTGCGAGGCGGGATCGTGGATGTACATTGTTGAGGAGTTCTACATTAGGACGAAACGTCCGTCCAGTGCTTTCAGGTTTTCCATGGTTGTTTTGCTTCAATTGACTTAGGATCTCAACTATTAAAATTTTCCAGAAGGTTTTGTGAAGAATTTAGCAATTTAACAATTGAATTCTATTAGTCAATTAAACTAGATCAACATGAAAAACCTAGAAGCATGAGACTGTTGTTTCGTCCTAGTAAGGAAACTCCTCAGCAGCTCTAATTGACTCATGAAATCAGCTATTTTTTAAAAATTAGTTCTATAAAAAATTTTAATGATCACCTATTCAGTAATAATACTTTAAACGTTGGTCAATTTTTCTAAGAAGGTTTATTTTTATATCTTATAGTATGAGTATTCGACCACAGTAACTGAGTTATAATACAGTGGTATTAGTTCAAGATAAATATATGACAGAAATTAATTTACAGTTGATTGATTACTGATTATTAACCAGTGTCATGTGTCTTATTAATGACAAAACTCATGGTCAACTTGCAATGTGGAAACAAATCTATGTGACTTTATATCACGGGTACTATGTTGATTGTAAGCTGATACTTTGAAAAAGCATCAACTCCTTGAAGATTAAAAGCCATGCCAAATAGCATGGAAAGTAAGTCAAGCAGGGTATCCTGTAGACTACCTTCAATCACCACCTTATGTATGATAAAGTTAACTTATTCAAGTCATAAATCAATCCAGTTTAGACCATCATTGAAAATCTGGAGGCACTGACCGACCGTTCCATCCTATTTGGTGCTCCTCATCAGTACGTATTCAATATTCTGCACGTTGTAACCCGACCTAGAATCTTCGATTCTGCGCGCGAAACACTATCCCCTAGATCACTGAGCTAGTTTAACTTAGACTGGTTCCTGGTTTCAATGAAATTCAATAATCTCCACAACATCATACTGAAAAGTGATTTACACAAATACGCCTAAACATTTTATTAAAAATAAGAAATTTTCGTGACTTATTTTATTCAGTCAAAATAACTATTCACATATGGGTTTCAATTAAAATACACTATAATCAGAAAGGGGTTTTATGGATATCATGGTAATTTAATAGTTGAATTCATGAGTCAATTAAGGCTAGAACACTACTGAAAACCTGAAAGCACTGGACAGCCGTTTCGTACTAGTATGGGGCTGATCAACAGTACTCATCCATGATAAATTAATTGATTGATTATTTGAGTTTCCCATCTATTTTACAATCAGCTCATTATAATTCCAATAAATAAACTTTAAAACAAGAACAATCATAATCACATGTTCGGTACTGATTTTATATCTAACTATAAAACTTTCATTTTAATGCATACTTTTGATAAAAATCTGATCCAAAGCAATTCTTTTCCATGATCTATAAGTTTGATTGCTAATATTAAGCATATTTCAAAAGTTTCATACTAAAATTAAATATGTCAAAACTTTGGTATGTACTATTGTTAGTTTTCAGTTAGATATAATCTAAATATTTGCAGAAGAGAATAAGATCTGTTGAGTAAAATGAAAGATTTTGATCAGTATATCATTGAAAGTCAAGAGAGAATGATATGGAGTAAAGCAACTAAGATCAGATAGTTCATTGATCTTTATAGAGAGAGACATTATAAATGTAAAATACTTATGAATTGGAACTTCTAAATTGTAGGATTTAAGTTCGAATACATAGTATTAAATAATAATGATGTTTAGTAAATTAGTTAAATGTACAATGGGATAAACTTTAATTGTCCTATAGTTTTTTAGAAAGTTCTATAGTAGCTTTGATAATAATATGTTAGTTGTTGCATGTAAACAATCATTTATTTCACAATTTATTCAAAAGTATGACAATAGGAAGATACAAGTAAAACAAGTAAATTTCAACTTCACCCCATTGCACAAGCTAATGGCTGTCAGAACTCAGTAGCTATGTGGATAACGTGATGGCGTTTGGAGCCAACAGTATTGGGTTCGAGTCCCGGAGTGAACATCAACTCTGAGATGCAGGCACATCCATCTGACGAGTCCCAAATAGGAAGAAACGCGCGTCAAACTGGATTCCACTTCTATCCACTATCCATCTTTGCTTGAAATGCTTGCGACTTAAGGCTATATCGAGGCAATCCGTATAGGATGCACATATGATAACATGAGACTGGTCGATTGCAGTTCTAAATAACCATGGGAAGATACAAGTAAAACAACGCCAAGTGAATTTATGCGAAAGTAGTTGCTAATTTAATGAGTTACATTAAGATTCATCAATGTGAAGCACAAACATTGTAACAAATAGGCACAGTTTTATTGATAATTTTCACTTTTGAAACGTAGGTTCATTTTTCTAAGGTACTTAACAGATATATGCAATATTTTATTACTTCTGTTAACTGCTAAACTTCATTTAATGTAAACATGAAAATTTTATACAAAAACTCTTTTTTTTCAAAACCCACAAGATACATTAAGATTCAATTGTGACATTTAACATGATACTTATTATATTTGTGTAAGCTTACCTGCATTAATGCTGCAATATCTTCTCTAGCAGTAAGTAATTCTTCTAAATTTACTGTACCGAGTACATTAAGTAAAGTGGTTTGTCCCAAAACTCTGGTTGCTCGATTAGCGTCTTCAACATTAACTACAGCACGTACAGGGTCTCTTACACGATAATATACAACTGCATTAACTACAACTGTGACAGAATCCTTTGTAAGTACTTCTTGTGTAGGTACATCAAATGTAAAAGTACGTAAATCCAAAACACGGTAACGATCCAAACAGGGAAGAACAAATATTAAGCCTGGACCTTTAGCAGTTGCAGAAACCAGTCTTCCAAGGCGAAATAGTACTGCTCGTTCATAGTGTGTTACAACCTATAATAAAAAGGTAAAAAATCAGTTATATTAACTAATAAACTGAATGGAATACTTATGCAACTAAAAAAAATTTTCTATTAGTATTAACATAAAACACAAATTTAGTCTCACTTTGTAACTGAATATTACCCGTCATTAAAATATGTTTCTACTTTGTAAATCCATTATATCTAGACTACATAAAATATTTTATAAACAATCTTTACTGAGATAATATGATAATTATTTCTTACCCTGAATATAAGGGAATTGTGGAGATAATAAAATTTTTAAGGTTTGAATGCTTGAAAGATCTTAGCTAGATCATTAATGAAAACCTGAAAGCACTCAATCACGGTTTCAGCGTACCGTTGAACTCCTTAACACTGCTCATCCGTAACCCTATATCCGGTGTCGAATCCAGGACCTTCGGCTCAGCGTAATAATGTTTAACCTCTATACTGTTGAGTCAAGATCAAGTATTGTACACGTATAAATTCAATTCACGATATTGATAAATATTCAGCTATTGCTTGTAAGAGATAACTGTTTCACATACAGCACAAAATGAACTATTTTGATCACAGCTTCTCAGGTTTTCAATAATGATCTAACTGAGATAAACCGAGGATATATACTACTTATATCTATCGACATCAGTAGAGCACAGTACATTATCATCAGAACAGCAACTCAGATTTTTTTAATGTATGGAATTCCAATAAGTGAGTTTCATAACATAAATTGTATTTCTAAAATGATTTTCAAACTCATTGAAAGGAATTTTACTAATCCCATGATGGGGTATTGAAGTCATGATAAAATCTAATGAGTTTTAGAGTGTTTTTTACTTAACTTCATGAAGAACTAGGCAGAAGTTAAAAATTTTATTTGATTGAATATAATTTTTTTATATAAATATTTAAAAATGTATAAATGTCAGAACGGCAAACTTGGGATTCTTCATCCAACATTTATAACCTGAAAGAGTAGGAAGGCCGTTTCGTTCTAGTATGGAACTCCCCATCAATGAGCACCCACGATTCCGTACATCGAACTCGGACTTAGGACCTTCATTTTCGCGCGCGAACTCTTAACCTCTAGATCACTGAGTTGGCATCGTAAGGTTTTAACGTCTAACTTTAAACAGTCCGCGGAATTACGCGATCATCTTTCATTTTCCTCGGTTGGTAATTGCCGGATCAGTGGTTAGGCCTACGCGCACGAGACCGAAGGTCCTAGGTTCGAGTCCCGCGTGAGGATTGTGGGTGCGCACCGCTGAGGAGTCCCATTTTAAGACGAAACGGCCGTCCACTGCTTCCAGGTTATGAATGGTGATCTAAAATTGATCGATTCATAATCTCAACAAAAATCTATATCTAATTATCACATTTCTCAAAAGTTGTGATGAAAAATTTATGTTTGATGTGGATATATGATTCTACAGTTAATTTCGTTAGTAAAACCTTTTTATAAACAAACTTCATCATGTATACTAATCTTTCTTACTTAAGATATGAATGTTTATTGATCTCAGAAATGTTTGATAACCAGAATCTGTCTAGACCGATTGATTTTTTACGCCATGATTTTGGCATTAATTCTTGTTTTCGGTCTTGCGTTATTGTTCAGAGTCGGTAGTTTAGCCACTTAGTTACACTGATCCTAGTGAATTTAACATTATTTAGGAGGTTGGTATGTCTTCACTTTTATTGGATGTGCTTTTTCCAAGAATAGTGAGACTGTTGGAACTAATGGGCATCATGTCACAGAGAAGTCAACTGGTTAGTTGTAACAAAAATATTTAACAATTAGGAGAGAGCGAAATAAAGGGAGAGTATGGATACCGGGCAAATAGGCAAATTAATTTAATCAATTGATTAATCAAGCAAATAAGTAACTGATGGATGTACTGTAACAATAAATAGACTGAGATTATAAGACATAAAGTAGATGATGTTACTGATAATGACAACAATAGTAATGGTTAAGATTAAGTACGATAGAACCACTGAATGCATATCGACTTAGTCAGTTGTTATTTACAATTTAATAAAAACGGTTACAGATCATAAGTACATTCATCATTGTCAAGATTTGGACAAAACAATCGTCCAGTACTTCTAGGTTTTCCATGGTGGTCTAGCTTTAGTTGGCTCATGAATTTAACTAATAAATTACCAAAATCTCCACAAAACCCCCTTCTGATATATGATTTCCATTATGTATACATTCCTGAAATAGGTTTTTTCTCCCCCGTTATTTTATTGTTTATTATTAAATACTGTTATTATTACTTTTCTATCAAATAGGATTTTACACTTGGAATAAGTGTATTATCTATAAGTGTTACATAATTAATTATCATATCAATATAATCAATCAGTGTTTATTAATTTAACCGTTACATTTGTAGTGAACGAGAACACAAGTAGGGATAATCGAATGTATTTGAATACATAATTACAGAATCATTCAGTAAAATCTGAGAACCATACAGTAAATTCTTCATTTGTAAAATGTCAATAAATTTTCTCAAACTTCATTGTTTCTTCATTTCCACACCAGTCATTCTCTGTTCTCATTCTCTTTTCTTTCTTCTTAACCTTTAGCTACAAGGCATTTCACTGTCAACTGATGATACATACTATATATATCTGTCGCCATCAATAGCACACACCATACATTATTTATTGTTTAACTAAACTAAAAGAAAACTACGTTAAACACTATTTTTTTCGACTGATAAATTAGTGAATTATTTTGGCATTCAACAAATTTACAAGGAACGAATTAATTTGTACTTTAAACAGTGTGATTACAAAATGATTCTCACAGTTGAATTTATGAGTCGATCTAACCGAAACCACCATTGAAAACCTGGTGAATTCAACCGCGAAAATACTAAAATGTCCCCAAATCCCTATTCTAATAATAATCATGTGCTCACCAGTGACTAGCTTCAAGATGGATTTGTTAGAGTTCTAGTTAGAAGTTATGAGCAGTGGAGTTCAATCTATGTAGAATGGAGACAGTTATCTACTTCAAATGACAGATGAATGGTTGCGCAAGATCATGGATCTATTGAAGTCAAACATTAACATCGTTGGATGCCCACTCAGTGATCTGGAGGTTAAGCTTTTGTGCACGAGACCGAAGGACTTAGATTTGAATAATTAATAAATATGGACATTTGTGAAAAAATTATGTTAAAAAATATAGCGTGAAAAAAACTTCCTTGGAAGAAGGCTGAAAAAATACTATCAATTACCAATCAATTTGTGTTTGTGTTTAAATATCACTAACTGATACTTATTTACCTGCTCATATAGAGACAGCTATATAGGTCTTTCGATGCGTACTTTATAGAAAAGAATTCAAGAACATTACCCAGCTCGGCCTAAATGAGCCTGAAATGGCTCATTAACAAGCTCTATAATCGGACACATCATGAACACATGTCAATCAATCTAAGCAGACTCTGTGTTCAAAGTCATCTACAAGATAAATAGAAGTCTTCCAAAGGCAATTATATTGCATATTCTTAGCATTGCCGAAGCAATAGCCATACATCTGGGAAAACCAGAATTGTGTCCACTTTTTCTACCATAAAAGCTTGTGAATTAAGGCAATATCAAGGCATACGCACAGTATGCACATAGGCCAATAACAGACTGATCAACTGCAGTTTTAAACCTCAATGGGAAGATACAAGTAAAACAATACCAAGTGAACATGGTTTTAATGTCTTGTAATTTTTTTGTTCTTTCCTTTTTTCTTCATATTTTTCTTCCTTTATAGCCATTTGCTGTCTCTTCCATCTTCTCCTTAAACCTAAAACTCCCAAATGGTTTATTTCTGTTACTATCATCCATCTGATTACATTTTATGTTATCATACTGAATCATCCTTTCTCAATGATAATTCCCTTATCTACTTTTTGATGAAAGTTTAAACCATTAACAATCAAACGATCATTAGTTTACCTGTTTAAAAAATTTTTTTTTCAGTAGCTTTGTTTATTCCACCTCACTGTCGCCATGTCTAACAGAAGTTATTATTATTATTATTATCATCCTGAATAATTAGTATATATTTACGATTGTACAGCTCTGAAAATGAATTGGCCGGAAAGAGAACTCTTGGCTGAACTAATCCTTCTTATTTAACATTTTATAACAGACAAATATTTTAAATGCCCCCAATGCCCTGGTATGGCCGAGAGTGGGGTGGGCTAGCCCTCCCTCTCGAAATGCTCTCACATGGCCACGCGTATACAGCCTCTGCCGGGGAAGTCCAACTCACAGCCTTCTCGTGGCGGGCTTGTTGTTTACGAAGTTGAGGGGACGAAAAGCGAATGTCCGGCGCTTTAACCGGATCCCAAACCAAATCAGTGGTGCACATGGGCTCCAGTATCCTGAGGGAACAAATGGCGTATGAACCAATTGTTGGTCACCGGCTACCATGGGACTGCATCCCCTGACGATGCTCCACTGCCTTGTGGGTTAGACCTTTAGGTCAAAGGCTCGAAGTGTGGCCTCCTAAGAAAACCACCTGGTTCGGTTTGGGCACCCGGGCAGTATCACAGCCCCCACACAAAGTGTGACGCATATGTATTCGGTGCCCCTATGTACCAATATTTATGTGTTCAAATAAAAATAAAATAAATATATTAAATAACTTTACAAATCATCGTACGGCTTTATTCAGTAACATTATTTTCCATTAATTTTCGATACTATTTTCCATATGAATAAAAAAGTAATAAGAACTTTCAATGTAGTTAGTCAAAACACAATCCAAGTCTTTGTGTTCATAAGAAATTTATGACACCTTTATCGCTCTCTTGGCCTTAAAACATGATTTTATTTATTATTATTTTCCATACTCTTCCTCTGTTTATTTTTTTTCACCCCCTACCACCCTATTCTTTTCTGAACACTTTTTATTACGTAATCTTATATTTTTTTATGAATGTTATTTCAGTGTCTATATTTTTCAATTCATTGACCTGATTC